AATATACGTAGAGCAATTAATACGCACGCAGTTTAATTTAAAAAAGTAGATTTTTATGTTTTATACCAAAATTAAATTTTCAAACATTGTTTTTTTTTTTAATATTAATTATACATTAATTAATAGCAATAGTCGTGCAGCAATTACGGTTTCTAAAACAGCATTTAAGAAGCAATTATTTGACGTACAACTTAATTTAAATAATGGATATTTTATGTTTTATAGCAAAATAAAATTTTAGAAAATTGAATTTTTAAAGAATTAATTATTAATTCACTAATAGCAATAGACGTAGAACAATTACGGATTCTAAGAGAACATTTAAGGAGCAATTAATTTGCATGCAGTTTAATTAAAAACAGTAGATATTTTATGTTTTATAGCAGAATTAAATATTCAAAAATAGATTTTTTTTAATTAATTATAAATTAACTAATTGCAATAGTCGTTGAGCAATTACGGATTCTAAGAGAGCATTTAATGAGCAATTAATTGACGTACAGCTTAATTTGAAAAAATAATATTCTACGCTAACTTCCTTCCGGTAGCGCAACGGGCGTTTATTTGAAAGGTATTTTGACTTGCGTTATACTTTAAAACAAATTTTTCACATTACATCTGAGGGTAGTAAATATCACCTTATAAACTTTTTTTTTCACACACTTTCAACACTTTCTAGGCGATCCAATATAAATTTAATTAGGTTAATCTTTAAGCTCAGGCCACAGGGGACGCACGCAGAAGGAGCGGGGACTTCAAAACGAAACAGCGGCACGAGGGTGCCTGGTAAAGGCGGTCCCGTTTTGCTTTTCAGGTTACAAGATATCACCACCTCTAACAACATTATGGCAAAAAACTCCAACCTGATTTGGGTACACGATAAAAGTAGAAAAAGAGGAGTGTTTGGAGAGTATGAAATCCGTTTGTAATAATACCTCTTATGCAGATTTTTTTAAATTAACTAAGATTCGTGTGAAAACAAAATATTGTAGGGAATGAGGGTAAAAAAAAATAAAACGAAATACGAACGAACAAATGAAAGTAGAATGGTAATCTCCCACGTGTTTTAGCAGTATAAAGTATCACGCAACTTACTAAGAGAGAGTCGGTAATTCTACGAGTCTCATATCGTTATAAATAGCTTAATATATTAAAACTAAGAAAATGCACTCGAAAGTTGTAAAAAAAACTGCAAATTCGGTAAAGCAGACTTCGTCACACTGACCTCCGTCACAGATATTTCTATTGTGTTCTAGGATTCATAAATACTCATAAAAATATAAATATATACTATTAACATAAATATTATACATAGAATAAAACATATACATAATAGAATATCTAGTGACTTAATACTAAAAAAAATCAGACTTCGCTAAAAGTCATATGCACTAGACGGTGATACCACCATCCGTCTGAGGTCATGAGACCATTCTGGCATTTTCCATTGTCGATTCATAAGACACCCACGGGAAGAATTTTTTTTTAATAGAGGAGGGGGCAAACGAGCATGCGGCTTGACTATCGCCGCCCATGAATAACTGCAACACCAGGGGAAATGCAGGTGCGTTGCCGGCCTTTTAGAAAGGAGTAAGCTCTTTTCTTAAAGGTCCCTAAGTCGTATCGGTCCGAAAAAATCGCCGGTGGTAAATGATTCCACAAAGTGGTTGTGCGAGGAAGAAAACTAGTAAAACGCACAGTGATGGACCGCCAAGCATCCAGATGATGTGGATGGTATCGTGAGTTTTGTCGCGTTGTGCGTTCGTGAAATTTGGCGGCTGGGATTAATCCGAACAATTCATCAGAGTATTCCCCGTGGTAGATGCGATAGAAAATGCAAAGGGGTGCAACATCCCTTCGCAGCGCCAGTGAATCGAGCCGATCAGAAAGAATTCGGTCGTCCACGATTCGAGCCGCTCCGCGCTGTATGGGGTCAAGTGGAAGGAGCTGGCACTGGGGTTCCCCGGCCCAGAGTTGAGCACATTATTTTATGCGAGGCCTTGTAAAGTTTTAAGCAGTGTGTCGGCACGAAATATTGTCTCGATCTTTTGAGCACACCAAGCTTTTTAGAGGCCAATTTAGCCTTTCCTTCCACGTGATCTCGAAACTACATCATTCGATATGTAGGCGCCGAGGATTCCGATGCCAGCTGAGGTAGCAAGGAGAGTACTCTGAAATTGAAGAGATACGACAAAGGGGTTCTTTTTAGCGGTAAACGCGCAAACCTGTGTCTTCTGAGCGTTAAACTGGACTAGATTTAGTCATTTAATTCCGCTACCATGTTGATGGGTGGGGGTGGGGGGGTGGGGGGGATTGGGCCTCCGGCCACTCTGGCACTCACCCGTAGAAGCAAAGCTACTTCACGTTGGTATTGTGGGGGCTGTGAAGTCGTGGTACCTCCCCAGTTCGAGCCGGTCCATATGTGCAACAGCAAAAGCTGCCGCGTGGCTCTACCACTTAGATAGACTGCTAGATAAGGGATTATGGAATCTCTGTAGTCTCCTCCACACGGGCACTCCTTTTTTCCTTAACTATATATGTTTGTAAGATTTGGCTAACATACAAGGAACCCTGAAGCAGTGGTGACTCAGGGAATAAGCTCTCGCCTTAAAAATTGCATAGTACAGGTGTAAACAGACTTTAATTTCCATCGGCACAACTAAAATTGTTAACAGTAATTTTAAGTGCTAATTTATCACGTGCCCAGAACTGATGGAAAACATCGTGATGTAAATGTATGAAAAAATAAAAAAAAATGTTTTAAAGATACCAACTCGAATATAGACGTCGCGGCAGACCTTTCTTTCCTGAAACTATCTCAAGAATTAGAGGAAGCCTGAGCGTAGCAGCGGGACATAAATGGCACCTTTTTTTACTTTGTACTTCTTTGCCGAGGACACCTATATTTTCTAAACAAATTAAATACACACATAAAATACACTCAAAATATTTAAATAAATTATTCATTATCTCTGGTAACCCCCCTACGGTATAACACATTAATGGAACATAGTACCTAAGCAGTTAGAAGTAAATAGGTACAACATAAATTAAGTACAATACAAACCAACAGCAACACTGCTTATCGCGAAACCTGTGACAATTACCAATTCGGTCATTGTGTGATAACTTAAATTAATGTAAAAAACGGATCAATGTTTTTAGATTAAATTAAAGACCGTAATTATTGTTAAAATATTTTATTAAAACCATATTGAAATTAATTTTTTTAATAATAATATAATATGTTATAATACAATAATATATGCTTAAAACTACCCTATACTAATTAAGCTAAAAATATACTTAGATCTAAATTAAACTATATAAAAATATATATATACCAAGACTGATAAACTTATTACATAATCTGCAAATAGTCATTTAGCACTATATAATATAACACAGTTACCATACTTTAGTATAATAATATAACCCTTAAAAGTATAAGGTGAAGCTATATATTAGAGTGTATCACCATATTAAGTTTATTATTAAAGTTGTATGTCTGTAACATGGTTTTGTTTTGCTGAGAATCTATTTATATTTTGGATTCATATTTTTGTTATAATCAGCTAAAGACAAACAAAAGCTATCACATAGTTTTTCAAGTAAAGCTGCCACAAATTAATACTTTATCCATCACTTTAAATTTATTTATTATTTAACCTGAAAGTCCCAAACTGATATACCTTGCATAAAGTCTTGATTTTCGTAATTAATTGGCGAACGAGTAAGTGGGTCATGTAACGGAACATATTAATATTCCAGATAAAGGAAAAAATCAGGTGTTTATCAAAAATTCACGCTTGAATGTTATTACCTACTACTACATATTAGGTATACCTATTATACATTTCTTTATTAAACTCATAATGTAAATATTTCTAAAAATGCGTTTGTCCATTGAACACAGTAGAATCATAATTATGTATTCCCAAAATAGATTACAATTCAGTTACCTGACCACGGCATGACCAGGCAGGTGTCAGAACATTATTCTCTTATCTCTGATTATTTTCTATCGAGAGACATGACTAATCAATACGTCATACCTGGTCTCCATTTTTGATTGCTTTTAATTTAATTTTACCACAGAAGATATTTTATTCGGATTGTGTCTATATTCTGTTACACATTCTATTACATTATAAATACGCTCGGTACCTATGAAATATCGAAAATAATAAAGGTATATTTGGATAACATTTTTGGGTTTACAAAAATCCTATTTTATTTCACAAAAATACTAGAATATTATCTTCACTACCACCTTGACTATTATATCATAAACCATTGTGATGATATTTTTAATTGTTGCAAAAATATTCCATAATATTTTTATTATATCTAAGGTAAATACGAAATAGAACAAAATTCGAAAATAACTTACATACCTTGGACGGATTCGTTGCATTAATCAGGTATAATTTGGTTTGTAAATTACAACTCTTAATTTCTAGACGTGATTGGGTGAGACCACGGGCGTAGTAAGACTTCATTATTTCTTACATTAGGAAGGTAAGTAACAAAAACTTACAACAGGTATGTAAAATGGCACAAATAAAATTCATATGCATTAAGGTAGTAATATTGGTGCATTACTATCATCATATACTGAAACTAAGTATATAACTATGTGGTCAAATATACTTAACATTGTCTACGTAATGAAGCACCATAGAGATAATTAGTTTTTTTTTTCAAGAATAGGCATGTAATCCTGGCGTATAGGTAATTTGTTAAATCTAAAATTTTATTTTATTTACAAAATTGTCTCCAGTTAGATTAAATCCACTTTATTCACGCCAACAATTTTCAAGCTACCTGAAAACATAGTTTAAATTTTAAACCATATAAGAGAACCGGAGGTAGCTTACGATGAAGGAGTAACTAGCCTAGGTACACAAGTATATCATAAACTAAGGTACATATAAGTGCATCACAGTCAAGAAATACTTTATCTTCTTAATTTTGTACAGGCAGAATTAGTTTACCCTTTAATGTCTATTTCTGTGCATGCCGGAGTGTCGGCTACCCGGCCGTGACTGAACTATCGCGTAATGGTCGCTGTTGTCTGAAACAGATCTAAAAAAAAAAATATGACGAGTTGTTAAAAAGGGTAAATTAAAAACAAAAATTATTAATCGATAAATTAAGTATTATTTTACTCGTATAACGCAAAATTATTATATATTGAAAACTAAACCGTACCTTGCAGAGTGTATGGTGGATGAAGGATATCTACTACCATACTGACTTCCATGCCAGCTGCGATAAGGATCGTAATCTTCTACGACAGATGGATCCTTTTCGATGACCTGTAAATAAATAAAAAAAAACTGTTATTTGAATTATATATTACAATGCTAACCAAGGACGACATAAAATAGGGTAACAGTATAGACATTGCTTCATTTTTGTCATTTGGGTAACACTTGACCTACTCGACCGGTTTCGCCTCACGGCATCATCAGGGTATATGAAAATAAGGAACAGTAGGTATAGATACTGCTTTTATTGTACAAATAATTTATTAATATTTTATTATTTATTATAAATACTTTACATATACAGACAACAACTGAAGGACTCAATGCCCAATGGGATTATCTTACAAAGGTGATTTTAGATGTGGCGCAGATGCATAGTTTACTAGATACAATAAAAATAATGTAGGAAAATATACATAATAAAATGTGTGTAATACAACGTAAAAGGTATTTATATTAATAAATGAAGGAATAATTACAAAGCATTTTAAAATAAAAACACTATATTATATTTAGACGGCTCCGTGGCGCAGTTTAGCAATGAGTTGTTGCGCTGGGGGCCGCGGGTTCGAATCCCGCACGGAACAAGTATTTGTATGGCCTACAAATAATTGTTCCGGGCCTGGATGTTTGTCTTTGTGCAATTTGTGTTTGTAAACTGCCTTCACGATACAGGAGAAAATCCTAGTGTAGGGGCAACATTTTTTAATAAAAAAAAAATTTAAAAAAATCGGGTACAAAAATACTATGAATTTACTAAATACACAATCAGTACTACACGAGTATCAGTACTAAGGCAAATGATAACAGTCTGTTATAACGTGGTAGAATGCCAGCCAGCGTAAATTAGTATGTAGAACTTTGAAATTTAGATAAGTAAAACCTTTAATGTGAAGTAGATGACATGATTCAATGCCTAATGTCTCAACTGTTTGTTACCTTTGACTTACAAGGCGCTACGGAAACTTTTGAACACACAAACTGTCGTCTCTGTTCCGCGCTCATTGTTTTCCAGAAACTATCAAAAATGCTTGGCCGTTCTGGGTTATTAATGTCATGACATCCACGGAGCTTAGAGCTTTGGCAAACAGCTAATTCACAGCGAGGGCCCATGTCTTTGGGTGGTTTCAGAGTGTCATGAAGAACTTTGAAATTTGGAAGCCTTATTTAAAAGCTTGGGATTATGTTGTTTGTCAGAAAATTCGTATCTCCTTAGTGTGCAACTTGATTAAGTGTTTACTGCAAACTATCCTGTGCCATTAAAAGCTATTTGTTTGATTTCATGGGTCACTAATTTTGTTAATTTAATACCTATTTAAGTGGAAACTAGTAGCGAATAAAAAACCAGACGGGATTTGTGTACATACATCCGTTCTAGCGCAGGAGCAAGTCATAGCTGTGCAGAGGAAGCAGTTGATGAGCAGCATGACCAGGAACATGACACCGAGCGCTATCGCCAAGTACAGCAGCCACAGCGGCCGCACGCTGCCTTCGGCGCACGCCAGTGCTGCCACTGCAACGAAATAAATAATAAATTATAATTTATTTCATTTTGTATTTGTGATCAATTTGTATGTGTGACAGACACAAACAAACGTTGACAAAAATTTAGAAACATATTCATGTGCAGCATTAATAAATCTGCTAGCCATATGAGGAAGCTCTCGGTCGCCTAGCAAGCTATGGAGTAGTGTATGGTATATGGCTCGAAGTTTCTCTACTCGATAGACTTCGAAATCCTATCGGAAGTATGAGCAGATACGAGAAACCGATACACCCTAACGGATCTGTAAGCTGAAGTAGTGGCTATGGGCCGGCCATATAGCTCGAAGGACCGACTACCAATGGGGAAGAAAGGTTCTCGAGTGGCAGTCTCATACAGGTAAGTGAAGTGTAGAGCGACCTGTTAAGAAATGCAGAATGTTGATGGATGCCGGCGGTTAAGGATCGTCCTTATAGGCTTTCCTTGGGAGATACCTAATTTTTAACATTACGTCCGACATATACGAGATGGTATACCGTCATTCATCACCAAACGTCTTTCTGACCTGTTATGAAAACTACGGAACTTGTTCCTATGGATCTTTTATATGGTAAGACTCCTTTTCTGCCAAAGTCCGTCTGGGTATGCACTACCCTCTTACTTATTTCTGTCGCCAAATCTGCACTGTTGCCTTCCGGTCTGAAGGGTATTGAAAACATGTTTAATTACAGACTGTGGGACGTATATTCCATCTTAGTCCTCAGAGTTGACAACGCATCTATTACCTTCTATCTTTGAAGTTGGCTGCAAGTGTCCATGGTGTACAGTAGCAGAAGCATCAGATAGTTCGTTTGTCTTTTCAGGTTTTTTAAATATCTAATGGATTTCCTTAAGCCGTCATTATGGTTGTTTTATGTAGCTAAATCAATAACTTAAATTAAAAAAATACTCCGAAACAAAATAAGCTGATGATCTTCAAATGGCTGAACAGATTTTCTTGAAACACAGTTAGGAACACTCTCGATTACGATGATACGTTTCAAACGAAAAAAATATACGGTAACGGTAACGGTAATTTCGAACGGTATATTTCTTCAGGAGCTATGATGCCACAGACAGGCACACAGACACACACTACGTAGGTCACTCAATAAGTTTTGAGATATACAAAAAGTATTCTAGATACTATTAATATTTATTTTACATCTTTTCAAAATATTCTCCATCATGCTCTATACAAAGTTCCATTCGCCTAAACCAACTCTGAAAACACTTTTGCCAGTCTTGATCTGACAGGTCGGAAATCGCTTCTTCGTAGGCAGCCACGGCTTCTTCGGCGCTTGAAAAAAACTTGCCTTTTATTTTATCTTTGACTCTTGGGAACAAAAAGAAATTACAAAGAGCTAAGTCAGGGCTATAGGGTGGGTGACTCAGAGTATCAACACCAGATTCGTCAATAAATGCTTTTGTTCTAAGGGAGGTATGTGAAGAAGCGTTATCGTGATGCAGCATGATTGCCCGAAGCCCGGTCTTTGGTCTTCTCTCCCGCACAGCTTGAAAAGTTTTAAGGTAATGCAACTGTAGTATACCATTAAGAGTTAACTGACCTACAATTTTCCAGCATTGACGTCGACAAATGTCCGCTCCGCGAAAAAAAACTAGCCACCATTTTTTTGCCGACGTTGCGAGGTGTTTGCAGTTTTGTCGGTAACTGTCTTTCTGAGTAGACCCATACCGATGATTGCCTTTTATTTTCCGGATCATATTGATTGATTCATGTCTCGTCATCAGTAACGATTTCTGAAACACGCCTCTAGGCGTGTTTCAGAAATCGTTAAAAGTCACATCGTTTTGAAAACGTGACATAGATGTCACGTTTTCAAAACGTAGACGCATTTCATGGCACCAATCCACACGAGTCTGTTTTTCGCTTTCGGAGAGCAAACGAGGGATCCATCGACAACAAAGCTTTCTCACTCCAAGATGTTGATGTAGGATGGTATGAATGCTCCCCGAACGAATGCCTACCATCTTTTCGATATCCGTATATGTGATTCGTGGGTCTTCTCGCACCAACATTTCAGTGGACCATACATATTCTGCCGTTACTGCTGTTTGCGGGGCCTCGGTTCTTTGGTCATCTTTAAGATTAATTTTACCCCTTTTGAATTCAGCAAACCACCTAAAAATTGTTGTGCGTGATGGAGCTGAGTCCCCTAATGCTGATTGTAACCGTTGTAAACTTAATTGTTCGGTTAAACCAAATTTAAAATCATAATATATCATAGCGCGCAAATGTTCAAGGTTAAGATCCTTCGTTTTAAATGAAAAGAGCGGGAAGCGTCGCAGGAAAATTAATAGAACTTTGTTTTTTTTTTTAAATATTGAGCAATTGGCTTATGGAGTTCTATTTTTTAAATAAATTTGCTTTTTATAAACATATAACACAGGTGCGTTCCATTTTTAAATTTCGAGCATCTCAAAACTTATTGAATGACCTACGTACAAACATATCACACCCCTTTGTTTTTGTCGGGGTTAAAAGTGATAATTACAAACCTTTAATTAACATCAGCCTTTTTGTTGGTTGGTCCCTTGTGTACATAAAATGTATTACTATGTATATATTATTTAACTAATAAACTTGGAATAATCTTTTGGGCTGCAGATTGCTGATATTAAAATATTAATTAATTTGTCTTTTAATAAACACAACATTACCGTTACTGTCATTGGGATCGAGCACGAATACGCTGGTGGAGGCGGTGAAGCTGCCTTCTTCATCACCCGCTTCAGAACTGCCGTCGTTTGTGCAGTCGACTATTGCACAGCTTCCTGGAAAATAATTTATTTCTAAATGAAATTTGATGATTACTTGAAATCGTAACACAATTTCAATTTGACCAAATTGTAATTTGTCACCTTCCACAGTTTGGCGGAACCATTAACTCATACCACAAAAAAAGGGCAAAAAAAAGTGGAGCATGTAGCCTTCCGCGCTGTCCATGTGCGTGTTGGTGGACTTCACATGCCCTCGAAATATTTTATTTCGTAGACATGCAGGTTTCCGCACGATATAATCCTTTAACGCAGGGCACGTTGTAAATCGTCGGTGCATTTTAGAAATTCTGGTGGCAGTCGAACTCGGAATACTTCTTTATATAAAATTAACGCTGGGCGCGTAGGCCTTGCCCTTGAGCTATGAGCAACAAGGCTCACATAAGGCTATAAGCATGAATTGAATAAAAAATAATATTACGGATTTTATTTTTTAATACGCGACGTTTCGGGCGCTTTAGAGCACCCATAGTCACAGAGGATTTTTATTGAATGTAAAGTATTTACATAAATATAAAAATATTAAGCCTGTCGCTTACATAGTAATTATTATTTAATCTGTGCTGTTGTTCCTTATCCTTTGGAAACATTTTTAAAACTTCAAACCATTTTTGTGATATTTTCAGATTAACAGAATCAAGTTTTACTTTACGGAAATTCATTATATTATAATATGCTATATAATAGGCAATAAGATTAAATTAAAATTTGTTTGAAACGTTACCTTTGCAAACACCGATGTCGCACTGGAAATTAACCTGCGATGAGTCGGGAAATCGGAACATCGACGCTAATGATAATTCCGCTACTCCATTTTTATTTTTAACAGCAACTGATTGTTGTTTAACGGGACATCTGTATAAAAGTGTAATGCATTATACATAATATGTATAAAAATCATAGAAATGAATATATTTTTTACTGTCGATATTTTAAAAAGAGGATAGACATTAATCTTATTATAATGTTTATAAATAATTTCAAATTTCGACAGCCTTTGCACGTACTATTTGTCTAGCTAATGTTTACTCACCCTGTTTGATCCAAGAGCTCTACGGTGTTGTTGCGCATATTAAATGCGAAGCAATTTTTCATTCTGATTCCGTGGAGCCCTGTAAAGTACATACATTAATCTTAAGTAACATTGTAAAAATATGTTGTTGAAATCTCTAATAAAATTTATACGATTTTTGTAGCGCTTTATGGCTACTTAATTTAATTTACATTGAATAGCGTTATGGATTGCTATCTTTATAATAATCTTAACAAAAAGCTTTTACCAAAAGTGTAGTCAGAGAAATTTCATTTTGTCGGATATTATAATAATATATGATATACGTTAGCGTTTGTTACTTCTACCTATTACAATATAGGTATAGGTCTCCAAGGCAAGAGTGAATAGGTTTTTGTTGCGCTAAGACAGTGTATTTTATATCACCCAGGGCTTCATCACCACTGTGGGATTGTAGCACCACATAGTGCTTAGCTTATAAAAGTAAAATAATTATCAATATTCGTACGTATACAGAATTAATTTTAATTAAATCAGGTCTATTGATTAAATAATTAAGGGTCGAATGAAATTTCTTTGGTGTCTTAATCCTAATTTGTACTCGATATATGCGATACGCAAAATTTCAGTAACGTACGAACGTATTACCACTAGCGTGTGTAAATTTTCTCTCCAGTAAGAGAGGCGTACCTATGTCCAGCACTGGACTTTTCTGTGAGAAAAAAAATGTCTAATTCTTGGATCAAAATCTTTATAATTTTTTTCTTTTTTTTTTTTAAATTGCCCCCGCACTAGGATTTTCTCCTGTATCTTGGAGGCAGTTTACAAACATAAATTGCACTAGGACAAACATCCAGACCCGGAACAATTATTTGTAGGCCATACAAATACTTGTTTCGTGCGGGATTCGAACCCGCGACCCCCAGCGCAACAACTCTTTGCTAAGCCACTGCGCTACGGAGCCGTCTAAATTATTAAATTTATCATTATTAAATTTATGTTTCTTTAACTATTAACTATATAACTTTAATATGTAAGGCTTAAGTAAAGCATTTGCATTTTGGGAAACTAATGAAATTTATTAATGTGGCGTTAGTAAGGTTTGTCATCTTGCTTTCTGATTTATCTTAGATTTTCTTATTGCAGTTTTATTTTTGATACAAGAAAAATGCTTCTTACGAGAGAATATGTTAGATCGCCATTTTTTTAGCTCGCAGCAATGGAGCTTTACAATGGTTTTGAAAAGGTATGACCCCAAAATAATGTGAATTTTTGGCGTCTGTTTGTTAACAAACAACTGTTTTAATTGCTTTGCTTTATTTAAAAGGGAACGGGGAGCTTTGAAGTTGAAGCAAATTAAAAATGTTCAAGCAGTCGTAAAAATTTATTCGTATAATGCAAAGACTTATTCTTTTTTATTCCTTATTAGAAAAAAAAAGAAGTTTTCGAGTATCTTTTTTTTATTTGACTCTCGTATATATGCGCTAATTTTGACATCTCGTATATTGGCACTTACGATCAAATTTCCTCTGTCGTCTCTTACGACACCCACGGGTCGATCGCCATACTTAATTTGCAGTTTCATCTCATCATAATAACTCAGCCAACTCCAGCACAAGTATGGATTTAAAGATTTGGTTTGCCAATGTTACTGAATATAATTTTCTTAAAAATGTAACTTTGCTGGTTTTAAGATCTTTTGGCTATAAGGACAGCTCATTGCTATAGCAGCTTACTGATTCATTGTACTCTTATTCTGCACAACGAATTGAGCTTCCTCATATGTCTCGAAGTGAAGAACCAAGAAAATATCTTTCTGTTAGTTATGCCTTTTTGGTTTCTAAGATATATTAAAATATAGACTTACCATCGGGTTTGCTTATTTCCGCTCTCAAGGTGTAATGCAAGCCAAACGCCGCATTCAATACTTTGCGGCCATTGTCGTCTAGCATTCGAAGCGATACAGTCGACGTTTCATTCCTGTAGAAGAGAAAACCATTTAAATATAGATATCTGTTTCTTTTATACGACGCAAAATTTAGAGTAATTTAATTTAGCAGTTTAATCCCGCCTCTCCTGAAAACACAGAATGTAGATCATTTACGTACACAATTTACGACGATAACCTCATAAAGCGTGTACGTATCTTGGGTTTTACGAGGATAAACGAAAATTATGTTATTATAATATTTATAGAATGTTTATTTCACTATCAAAAATTATTTTAAAAGATTTGTAATGGTAGCAAATGTTAACCAGCATTAAGATTAAAAATTGGGGTAAAGAAATTTAATTTTGATGTTCCGTAATACCGTACCTGGAATTCTTGAAGCCAGTTTTGCCGCAAGTGATGACGTAAAATTTGTCATCTGCCAACTCCAGGGTTCGGTGCACGCGAACCGCTAGCGGCAGCGACCTTTCGTCTGTCCGCTATAAAATTGATACGAAAACTTTTTTAAGTGATATTGATATACAAGATGAAAATTTAAACAAATCAACCGTGTATTGGCGGTTTATGAATATTGACCACTTACCCTATATCGTCCCGTGTCGTAAGAGGCGACAGGGGTTAACAAACTAGGAGATGGGCAGTACGTTTTCCTAATAACGTCTTCCTAATAACAACAATAATAAGCTACTCAGAGGTTCTGCGGACAGGTGTACAATATCAACGCTGGAGCCATACGTAAGTGTGAGTAACGTTTTAAAGAGTTAGTCTTAATCGATACTATTCCGGTGACGTTGGTCTGAGCGGGATTAAAATGGCTCTTCAGCACTCTAAAATGTCTGGACAACCAGTATTGGAAGTTCTTTAAAAGCTCTTCAATTCCGTCCTCCATGGTGGCACTACTGTTCTGTTCTTGTTCTTCGAGAAAGGCGACAACGTTTTATTGAAGAACTACAGACAGATTTCCCTTGCGAGCCGCGTGTGCGTGATATTTTTTCATTACGAACTGTCACGCACGTAGACTTGACAACTTCCAGCCTTTTGAACAAGCCGGAAACCGAAAAGGCTTTAGTACCATAGACCACACACATAACCCTTTGGCAAATTGTACACAAGACCGAGGAGTTCAATCCGCTACTTTGTCTTAACTATGTGTATCACGAGAAAGTCTTTCGTTCCGTGCAAATTTGGGCGTAGCTACAGCCCCTATAGCGGTGGTAAGTTGACCGTCGGTATATTATAGTGTAGTGTAGTATATTATAATATAGTGCTGAAGTTTTTTTTTTCTTTATTTTACTAAACAAATCGACACAACCTTACAATAAAACATATTCCCACAAAACTGTTTACAGTTTGTCTGTGGAATCCAGAGTCTCACAATAATACTTAAACTAAATTTGTATTTTATCTTCTTACATCGGCTCGTAAAAGTTCGCGTTTGAAACGGGCCTCTCCGGTTGTAGGGCGGACTTGCCTTAATCTTCACGCTTAGCAGACGGTGCTGATTGCAGTACCACTTTGAAGCAACTGCCCGTTGCCGCTCTGGCTAATTTGTATGATGCTACGTAATTGTTTTAATTAGCGATTATTTATTTATTTTGCACTCTATTTTGCTCCTTGCCCAATTAAATAATGATGTTTTAAAAATAAACAGTAATATTAAAAAGTACCAACATTATTCCAGAAGACGCCACAATAATCCGGTGAACCCGGCGTGGCCATCAAACTTATGTCAAAGTTCAGAGATTCGCTGCCATTACCCATTGCCATGCATGCTGGAGTTCTGTAAAATGTGAGCTGCATTCAGGAAAATGATTGATATTTATGCGATAACACAGGATAGCATCCAAATTTTTAAAAAAGTGTAAAGAAAATAAAATACTGCATAATTCCATCCTACAATAAAATTTATCTAGTACTAACATTAAATTATATCGGAAACGATATAATATAGTAATCACTGAGAATTAGATCAAAGTGAGATTCGAACCCAGATTTATATCTTTTAATACGCAGAAACCGCGTGGTGACGGTGAAAGAATATTCATTACCCCATATTCTCCCGTAGGCATTCTTAGAGGCGACAGAGAGTAACTGGAACAGAAGATAAGAAGTAGCATCTTCCTGATAGCAACTTAAAATAATAAAAAATTGCTGTTGACAACCCGCTTGCAAAGCGTGACAAATATTGAAATTCCCACATATGAGGCAATCCATGGGGGAGACCTATGTTCAGCTGCGGACTTTTATTGGCTGTAATGGTAATTGTAACGACGTGATTTCAACAGTGAGAAATAAATAGTTTGTATCATTAACAAAATCAATATTATTCCAATGTAAAGTTGAAAATATGGAAAAAATATGCTGAACCTTCAGACCAAAAAATAAAGATAGACTGAGTGCTGCATATATTTTGAGTGACGCAAAACCATGCTCAATATCTTGACACACACTCAGATACACTCTTTTTCAATAGCTCGTAAAAGTTTACTGCAGGATACACACATAGGTATATCCCTAATGCCATGTTGTTGGCTAATGAGTTTAGATGCATAATATGTGTACGTGAGTGCGTGTTCTTGCAACAAGTTGAATATAGTTTTGGCTTAGTGTTTGGATCACTTAATATCTACGCAGCGGTCTCTTTCTTTTTTTTAAATTAGAATTTTACCTGAACTCTCGAGCGTGCGCTAATCCATTGAATGGCTGGTTAAATTCGATATTGATTGACATAACTCCAGTCTTGCATGTTGCTTTCACTGCCGGTGAAAACTCACCGCTGCTTTCCGTATTCTGGAAATTAAAATATTTCGTCATTTTATCTTGCACGTCATTGTTAAAAGTTTTATATTATACAACAATTTTTGAAGTGAAAACTTCATTAGGCACGTTGGGCACTTTTGGTATGGGGAAAAACACTGAACTCGCGTGTCCGTCACGCTAAAACTGATGAAAGTAATGTTGAAAATCTAATTGATAAAATTTTATAAAATTGTTATAGTATAGGGTGACTAACGAGCAAACAGTCCACTTGATGGTAAGTGGTTGCTGTGACACATAGACATCTACATCTATCCTCTATAAAGAATCAAAATGCAGATGCGTTGTCACCCGTGAGGGCTAAGATGGAATGCCTCTTGTCCAGTAAAAAGGGTCTCCGGTTCATTACACTCACCATACGAAACACAGCAGCGTTAAGCTGCTATTTGACGCTGGCATTCTGTGAGAGCGTGGTCCTTCCCCGGTCGAGCCGACCCATTCGTACTACAACTATACTACTAATATAGCTGCAGCATGGCTCTACCACGTAAAAAATTACTATAACTATGCATATAACCTTCGCGAAGTTCAACCAATAGGTTGACAAAGTTTTATCGCATTCTGATGGACGGCGCATTCTGCTAAAATTCTGATAAAAATACTTCCTAAAAATATTTCTTAACAACCCAAAAATAATGTTTACAAGTTAGTAAAGCTAAGAAGTATTCACTTGTGACGTGCAGTCCTACGACTCACAGTTTTTTTTTAAATTTACTGCTGGACGAAGTATTTTCCAAGAACGCGTTAGCTAGCAAGCATTACGTGAAATACTGGTCCATACGCTGGACATGCAGGGTGGTTAGCCCCGAAATGATATCCTCACTGGTGCTATTTGCGTCTGTATAATTTGGGTTAAGCAATGTAAAAGGGAAAGGAGGAATATACTAACTTCGCTCCAAATGTTTGCCACACTTACACGCTGCAGTGCACTGTTTGCGGTCAAGGATTAACCAACTGGTAACAAATAATCCATCTTAAAACGCTGTTTAAATATTTATAAATACAATAATGAAAAAAAAAACTAAAATTGTGATATATTCTTACTCCTAGGCTGCGTTTCATTGCTAAATGGCTACGCTTAGCTTCTGGGCGACAATCAGTCGCGGATACAGTTCCTTTAGGAACTTTAGCGACACAGATCAATAGTGTCTATAGTAAAAGCCATAAATACTAGTCAACTTTTAGAGGTACAGCGCCATTTTTGAATTCTTCTTGTCCTAGTAAAGGTATTTTTGTGACATTTAACTCAACTTTAAAGGAATTATTTCACCAAAATTGTGTACACATTTGTCCACAAACATTTAAAAAAAATCCAGCAATGCACGTACTAAGCTGCAGTTATTTTAGTCTCCGTTTCCACCCGCAAAGCTGTGCGTAGGTAAATGTTGTACGCTAAGGTTACGAGAGCGACGCTGAAAGTTTTTAGAACTGGCCACTTGTAAACGATATAGGTAATAAAAAAATAAGTTCAAATTTTGAAAATGGAATTCTCTGCCAATATTATGGTTTATGTATTTTATTAATTTGTTATTTGTTTACGATTTGGCGGCAAATTGAAAATTGTCTGTGTCACGTCAGCATGAATTTAATGCGAGAAAATTTTCGTACAACGCTTTTTATGATACTCGATGTCATTTAAGTTAACAAGAAAGTTATGATAGACTTCGATTGGCCTTTCACGATGAAGCCCCACCAAGCACTGTTTACAACTGGCTTAATGAGCTTAAACATGGTCGTACTAATCTTACCGATGATCTGCGTGAGGGACGGCCTTCTACGGCGACGACTGAAGATAACATCAGTGTTGTGCGGCGTAGGCCCAAAAACTCCGTCGTGCTGATTGGTGTCGTGAAATGGTTCAAAAATTTAACGGAGATGATTCAAATGTGATGTGTTCGACATAGTTACGGGCGAGGAAAGCTTTTTTTATAGGATAAGGGTGACAGACGAGCACACAGTCCACCTGATGGTAAGTGGTTGCTGTGGCCCATAGACATCTACATCTATCTTCGATTAAGAATCAAAATGCAGATGCGTTGTCACCCGTGAGGACTAACTTAGATGGAATGCCTCAATTCCAGTAAAAAGGGTCTCCGGTTCTCTACACTCACCATACGACACACAGCAGTGTTATGCTGCTATTTTACGCTGGTATTCTGTGAGAGCGTGGTCCTTCCCCGGTCGAGCCGACCCATTCGTGCTACAACTATACTATAGCTGCAGCATGGCTCTACTACGTATAAAAGCTGGATTTATTGTTAAGATTTTGAAAATATCTAATAACTTACTAGTTTGTTCAGTTTTTGATTTCTAAGAACTTTCAGTGTCACCCGTATAAGCGTATAGTACAGCGCATTCGAAAATGAGCATGTTAACTTTGAAGGCAAATTGCTTTTTGTCGCTAGTATGTACAAGCAGGAAAATTATTTGGGTTGAAGGTTGTGTTATATTGTGCAGTATGCTCAAAAAGAAACGAAAGAGAGAGAGAGAGAGAGAGAGAGAGAGAGAGAGCAAACTGCGTTTTTGGTTGATTTCAGAACTGAAGACTGAAGGTTTAAACAAAGAATGCGTGTGCGTTTACGTTACTACACTGCTTGTAACGCACATTGCGACAAAGCTCGCGTAAATTTTTAACTTAAGTGAGTTCATCGAAAATAACAGTTTGCCTTAGGTACATTGTGCAGTACAGTGCTGCACACTGGTGGAATCACAGCTCAACAATCCTATATTGGCTGGTTATTTGGGTCTTGTTTCGGCTATTACATAATATAGTAATACACAATTTGTAACAATTAAAGAAATCAAAATCTAAAACGATCAAGCAAATTTACTCCCGTCGGTACAGTGCCAAGAAATTTCCCTTCATTTCCTCGTTGAATACTTAGTCTTTGACCGAGGAAAGAAAGATCACTCGTGTCTCCAGTCACTACGATCTTCCGCAAATACGGTTTCTTTTGAAACTTAACCACACTTGGACTCCACAAACCAATGATTTCTAAGACAAATGGCACATATTCATGGTCACTCTGTTCAGCCTCAGCTTTAAACGATGTAGGTACATCCCAGAGGCTGCTAAAGCCTCTACGTGAGTAGCATGTGAGGGCTTTGCTCTCTCCTAGGGCATTAAAGTCTTATCTTTCGTTTTCTACCATCATTTCTAAATAATCCACAAGTATCTAAAACCTAGGGCACAATTATAATGAGAAGAGCTCCTCGGAAACATCGTTCGGAGAACCGTGATAGGGCAACTATGACTACCAGCATTTTTCTTACACGAATGTCCGTAGAGTTCAAGCTCTTCAACACTGCTATTCTTACATCAATGCCCAAGCTTTTTTTGTCAAGTAATGTGCCAAGATTACTTGACGATAAAGCGTATTGTTTTTAATCGGCTTGTTTCAGATTCATTCAGTTGGTTTCAGCCGCATTGCGCAAGTCGTAGCGATATAATTATAGCGATCCCAAAAATTTTACTAGCAACTTGTGCAAACCACTATTGCTTAATTTAATAATTGTGTAGAATTTCTATTGAACATTATATTTTAGTACTTGGCTTATTAATAAAAATAATATAGAATCTAGGACTTTAAGATACTAACTTTTATGAAAAAAAGTATGTGTGTAGTAATAAGCCTTGGAATAGTTAAAGGAGCGATAAGCGCACATCTAAAGTATGTGAGCGACCCGAGGTAGTTTCTACCAGCACCAAAGAAATTGCTAATTACGATTTACCAAGTTCTCGGCAGCGAGGAAAACATCGTGAGGAAACATGCATGTCTAAACAATAAAAAAAATATTTTGAGAACATGCAGAGTGCGCCAACACGCATTGGCCACGGTTAATTTATTGTATTCTATTTTTTTTTAAGTTTAATGGGCTAAAAGCACCTAGCACCTTATGAATATAGTCTTGTAAAGACGTATATAATATGCATTTCTCGCTGATAGACTCGTTAGAACATTTCGTAGCTATATACATAAACATGAACAGAAATATGTAAATAATGGCAAATACCCCCCTATGAATGTAACAAAGAGACGGCCCCCAGTCCCCGGCGGCCCCGCTATTCCTGGCTACGGTGGCGACCATGGTAACGGCGGGGCAGGGGGTGCTAAGAATCTCCGGTGGAGGTTCGGTTGCCACCTTAGACGACTCGACCTGGCAACATACAACGCACGCACGCTGAGGACTGACGAGAAGATCGTGGAGCTGGAAGAAGAGATAGACAAGTTGCGCTGGCATATTATAGGATTATCCGAAGTCCGAAGAGAGGGGGAGAACACGGTAATCCTCGAATCCGGCAACTTGCTCTATCACCGGGAGGGCGACCATCTGTCCCAAGGAGGTGTCGGATTTATCGTCCACAAGTCTCTCGTTAACAACGTTGTAAAGATCGGGAGTGTGTCGAGGGTTCGAGGGTTGCGTACCTTATACTCAGAATCTCCAAACGGTATTCGCTGAAGGTCATACAGGTTTACGCACCAACCTCGCCACACCCCGATCAGGAGGTGGAGGAAATGTATGAGGATATCTCTAGAGCCATGCATTCCTCCAAAACCCAATATACGGTGTTCATGGGAGACTTCAATGCAAAACTAGGTACAAGAGAGAACGGTGAGCTGAAAGTAGGGAAATTTGGAATAGGGCAACGGAACCCAAGGGGCCAGCAGCTGGCCGACTTCATGGAGAAAGAGGGACTCTTTATGATGAACTCTTTCTTCCAGAAGCGGCCCCACAGGAAGTGGACCTGGTCGAGCCCCGACGGTTCGACGAAAAATGAGATTGACTTCATTATGACGACCAGACGACAACTGTTCAGTGATGTCTCCGTGATCGCGAGGGTGAAAACTGGTAGTGATCACCGAATGGTTAGAGGCACACTGAACCTAAACGTTAAGTTGGAGAGGTCTCGTCTAATGAAGTCAACGCTCCGTCCCCCTCGTGCTCTGTTCCAGAGTCCCGAAACCTTTCAG